TGTCTCCATACTCTTAGCACATGGGAGTTCTTTCTGAGCTTTCTTTGATTTCTTGTTCTTCTAAAAAAAAATTGTTATTTTCTGATCATGAAATTCTATTTTCTAAATAAACAATAATAAGATTTGTAAGAAAGTCAACCCAACCTCATGATCATTGAAAAGATATTGCATTGGCAGGTTGAGTGAGAAACTCACAGTAACAAGACGCCCAGGGCCGGTGATGAAGCTTTGTAAAACCCCCAAAATCGATGGTACTTTAAAAAAAAAATTAGGTTGTTCATTTAAACAATTATGATGCAAGTAGGGGCAAGCAGTTATCCAATAAAAGATTTGATTTTACAGATCAGGTCATTCTTAGATCCATATACATGTATGGAGATGCAATGAACTCTAGATTAACCTTTTGTAATCAACATTGTTTAGTGAAATCGGAATTCCTTCTAACTTGATGTTGCTTTCAGATCTTGATCTCTTACAATGCGTTATTTTTTTCTCCAAATGCATGTGGTTATGTTTGTCATAAGTGAAAGATTGAAGTTAACCTTCTGATGACTGGTACAATCCCCTCTGCGATAACATCGGTTAGCGGTGAGGTACCGCTAACAAGTTGATGAGTGAACTATCATCATGTAATTTAATAAACATGGCACACTTTTGCTGCAAACTTTTGTTCCTTGTTTTTTTGCTATACTTGATTCCCAGTCCCAAGGTGAAGAAATTCACTGTAGTCTAAGGTAGTTCGAAGTAAGTTGTGAAACAAATGGTTTTCGGCTTTCACAGTACACCATCCGCCTGCAAGTTTGGACATTCCTCCCTTTCCAACCCTGTGCGGCAACTCCATTCATAACCATGTATGTCACATGGTTGTGCAATTGAAAGTTCACCAGCCAATAGAAAGTTTTGTTACAAATGACTGTCGGAAAGCATTCAGTAGTTGGAATAGTAAAAAATACACAGTAGCGAAATGCTTACACATTAAACCATAACATAATTAAAGCCACAAATCAAAATATGTGGCTAGTAGCATGGACTTATATATAGCATTCATGCATGTTTTCTTAGCACGGGCTAAGAGGTCAAATGCCAAAAGGAAACGCATGTGGATGCTTAGCACAGGTTAAGAAACACTAAATACAGATTAAAGGGGGAGTCAAGCCAAACAAAACTGACAATTTCTGACAACAGTGGATATGATGTCATACTTTACCCATAATCCTTTGCTGAAGAATCAAGATGGTGGACTACATAAATTAATGTTAAATATCTGGAGATTGAAAAGTGACATGAAAAAGCTGTAAATTGCATGTTCTTACATTTGCCGAGCTCTTTCATCTGGGAGTATTATGTTGTTAGACTTGATTTTCCTTTAAAACTGGCTCATTTTTAAGACCCAGTAGATATACTTAGCACTTGAGCAATTTGGTTTATCCGATATGCAAACATATGAGATTAGTTTAAATCTTACTCTGTTCTTGGTGTAGCCTGATCACGATTATAATTAATGTTAATTAATGTATGAAGGTGATAATGCAAGGTGTGTTTGCCAGAATATCAAGTGACTTATTGTGGGTTTTTTTTGTAGGCACTGGATGGATTTTTATTTGTGGTGAACAGTCAAGGGCGGATAGAGTTTGTTACTGAAAATGTGTCTACCTATCTGAAGTTTGGCAAGGTTTGTCAATAATTTCTCATATTTTTCATTGACTATCAGAATTAACATTAGTTTCAGTTTTAGCTGCCATTTTGTTTGTATTCTGACTACTAGTACTATATGTGCTCACCTGTTACTAAGTAAATATAGAAATACAAATGAACCATTATCACTGTGATATCATCTGTTGTTGGTTTTATCACAGGGAGTTGGAATAACTAAGTGAAATTTAAAAAAAAAAAATTGTCTTTTACTTTTTAACCTCCTCCCTCCCCCCAATCTTGTCTCTTGTTCCTATGCAACCAATATTCATTATATTATTGCTAGTTCTTCATCTACTGAAATCATCGTCACTTTTTCAATCTATTATGTTAAATGGAGTTAACGATGCTCCAGGCAATGTGTATAATCAGAGGTACATTACTTGGGGTTTGCAACTACAGTGACATGATACCAAGATCCTGTTTCAATCTCGCTCTCACATCAGTGTTCCAACTCAGAAAAATGCGAATGCGCATGCCCAAGGTAACTAGGATACTGGGATGTCTAGGTGGATCAAAATAGCTGCTCACGATATGATGGATTACGATAACTATATTTTCTGTACATTTTCGATGTATTACATTTTTTCACTATGAATGTAGTAATACATGTTTTATTGTTTTATTACAAACCGCCTATGTCATGCCAGAAGGTCATAGCACCAGTCTCGCTGTCTACGAGATGAGACTTGAATGGGATCTTGACATGATGTCACCATACAGTACTATGCGCGTTGCAAACCCCAAGTAATGTACCTCTGGTATAACACATCAGATTTGTTATTTTCTTTTATTTCCTCCTTCTATAAGTTGTATATTACTATTCTTGGATGTCCTACCTACCTACAGTACTCATTCCGCCCAACCTCCCTCTTTTATCGCTTTTTTTCCGACCGCTTATCGCTTAATTTCCGACCGCTCGCTGCTTTCCGACCGGAAACCGACCGCTTTTTTTCCGCTCGCTCGCGTTCGCTTTTGTTCGCTCGCTTTTGTTCGCTCGCTCGCTCCTGCTATGACTGGCTTTAGAAACACCGTCCGCTTGCCAACCGACCGCTGGAGTAACAATGATCGTACATTGTATGTATAAACTTAAGTTTTTATTCGTAATAAATTTAGGTTTTAATGACGATTCAAAATACAACGCCTATTGCTTCTCTGTTTTGGAAAAAAGACGCCTTGAAATCACTTGACACATTGTAACGTTTGCTACGCAAGTCGAACTGTGACCTGTATTTACATATTTACGTCCTTGTGTGTGTAGTTCAAGCAGCTATATGACTGGTCAATCGCGATATTATTGAGTACTAGTATTTGTGTGTTGTGTGTGTTTCTGTGTGTGATTTTGACTAAATTTATTCCAAACGGCGCTCAAAATAATTTGACACTTT